ATCCCGAAAAAAAAAAAAAAAAAAAAAAAACCTTCCCCAAAAGGTAGCTGTAAAAATTATGTGGTAAGGAATTGCGATTGTTATGTTTTATCCATTTCACTAAGTACTTGGTGATAAGCACAGAATAGGCAAAACTCTGGGATAGAAATTTTGTTATTTGTCATCCTAGAGTTTAAAGGTAGCAGAAGTAGGTCTGATTCCTGGGTTCAACAAGTTTGGCTCTATTAGTGCTTTCCAGCAGAAATGAAATAAACTACATGTATCATGTCTTTCACTGATTTCAGGCTGGCAAAAGCAAGAAGTCCTAAAGATCAAGTTTATGCATTTGGTTTTATGGAGTAACTTCTACTGCTATTTTCCTATTTAATTTTACAAACTTTTATTTATATGTGGCTGATTCATTTACATCATATAACACATTTTTCATGATATTTAGTTACATACTTGCTTTTACTTAGATGCAACAGGAAAAATTCAGTAACTATGTTAATGAATTTCAAATAAGGAAACAGATTTATTATACTAAACTTGCAGTGACTGAAGTTCAACTATTCAGATTTATATGCCTGAAAAAACATTAACCCAAATAACATAACAGTGACACATACAAAATGTTTCAAACAAGTCATAATTGTAACTCATCCCAGAACTCCTTAGAGCAATTCAGTGTATCATAAATACATAAATAAGCTTTTACTTCATATTTCTAGTGTATAAAATATTGTGTGGTAAAATAGTAAATTTTGATTCAGCAGTGCAAACTATTGCCACAAGTTTTTTTATTCTACAAAAAAACGCTTAAATTTAAGCATGTAAAGTACTGTAAATTGACAATATTTACCTTTATGCATGTGGAATTAAAAAAGAAATAGCAGTCATTCCCAACTTCTGTCATTTTCAACTCCCTTGCTGCTAATCCAATGATTTGTTTATATATAGATATATGTATTGCAGGAATACAGATATAAGAACTATCAAGGTGTGAGGGGGATATTTTCTTTTCCCCAGTCTTTGAGGCTATCACCAGTATTCCTTTAAAACTGGCCTCCTTTAAACAGTATACTACACAACAGATAATTCTTAAATAAACTTAAATTAGGAGATACCTTCTCTAGCTTTGCAGAAATGTTGAAAGTGGTTGCTAGTAAGCACCAAACTCAAACTTCCAGAATTTTCCCCATTGTTACCTAATCCATTGTTTGATCATCATAAATGACCTCATGTGTAACTGACAACTGGTTTACCTTAGTAAATGCTATATATTCTTTACTCAATTCTAGTACAGTAATAGAAAAAGACTAATGAAAATAAAGTTGAATGTTTCACCTGTCAATATTCTGCTTGAATATGGAACCTAAACTATCCTATATTTTTTCACAGTTAAAAAGTAGTGATTTCACAAGTAAATAGCAATTAAACCCTCTACTAAACATTGTTTGGAAAGAAAATTAAAAATTTTAAATAGGTAAACATCCTATCCATATTCCAAGAAAACATGTACAATTACTTAAATATGTACTTACTGATTTGGAGAAAAATTATTAACATTATTAAACATTAATAGGCACATGAAAATAAATTTGACTATTCATCTTGTAGTTTTATTCCACTTGTCACTCATCATTAAAAGAGAAATAAATTCTTCTTATAGCAGAAAGCTTCTAGAGAGATTGAGAATTTGTTGAAAATAATGCGATGTACTTTGTCAGAGAAATTTCAACAAGCAGCTATTGAAATCTTCATCCTAATATTTTTGCTCAAAGAATTAGAACCTAGAAGAGATTAATGAAAGTATTTATCACAGGTAACCTAGAAGATGCTATGAAGATGGTATTACACTAAATCGAAATGTATATTTAAATTGCAATGCAATTTTAATTGAAAAATTTAAAGAACAAGAGAAATGTAGAATTGGCTTTAAATTAAACAGTGTAAATTGGTGTAGACTTTTGGAACACAAAGCTTCAGGATAACAATCCTGGAAATAAAAATACGATGATAGGATTTAGAAAACAGTTACATACCTACCTATAAGCAAATATGAGAAAAATTAGAATCTTAAATAAATAAGGAGGAAATAAAAATTTGGGTAGACTTTTAAAAACACTGGCAAAGATATATAGGACATATATCTCCACCTTTGTTTTGCCCTATCTTATAAAAATATCCATCTATAGACTAGACAGATAAAATCCCCTTTTTTACTGTGTATTTGGAGCTTCACTGGGCCATTTTCAAATAGTGCTACCAAACTCCTTTATTGTATGATTAAATAATTTCACACAGGAGAAATGCTGAGAAACAGTTTTACCTCTTGAAATTAATTTGTGAATCGCCACATTCTATTAGATACAGCAAAAACAGGTCAAACCCACATGGGGATTTTTTTTTTCTTTTATTGCAAAGCACATTATTTCGATTTATATAGTTTGGTAGTCTTTTACTACATAGAGCCCTATCTTTCCTTTAAAAAATTCTCTTTATTTTTTTCTTTTTCTTATTCTCTTTCTTCCTGTTATGAATTTCACACTCCTGTTTTTACAGAATCCTACCCATGGGTATTTTCAGTCCCTATAATGACAAGTGATGGGAAATTTGCCTCCACAGCTGGGGTAGACTTGAAAACTCTCTATTTTGTGTTGGTAACAAGCACAGTTGTAATGAGTGTCTTTCTCCTTTGTGCATGCTAGAAAGCTGGCACATCGAATTAAAGAAGAAAGTCTTTCTTGTAGCTTGCAGTCCTGTAAAATCACTTTAAGCACAGTGACTATAGCCAACTCCTGTTGGTTTTTCAAGTGTGTGAGAATCAGGCAGAGTTGATGATAGGTGCTCCCCCTCGGCCTAAGGTATCTGGTTTATAACTGTGAGTTCTCTGTGGGTCTTCTCAAATTTGGACTCTTGTGTTTCTGTTACAGACTTTGTTCCATGCATAGATGAGACCAAAGCATTAAAAGTAGTGCTTCCTGTGAGATGAGTAGCCTTGTTGCTACTATTCAAAGTAGAATGTTTTCATAGATTAAAGTTTCTCAGAAATTACAGAATATTGGACCCAGCAGATTCTGTGGCAGTTAAAAAATGACAGTTGTATTTGTGAGGGTTGTTGTCTGTTTGAGACTCCTAAGACATAAGACAAGCTCTTTCTAGGATTTTTTTTTAAATGAAGCCACTGACATTTCACTCAAAATGCTAAGAAGTTCCTGGTTCCAGTATCACATAGTCAGTACTATGATTTTTCTTTTTTTTTTTACTTTTTTGTAAACTTGGGAGTTGTGGTTATGTTTTTCTATGAGGGAGAGATAGCAGGGGAAAATACCACAATAAAATGGCAGATTTCTTCCTCCTTACCTGCAATAAAACATCGTACTTTTGGAGAGGATATTTTATTCTTTGGGAGCCCCCTTATTATATATCCAAGTAAGATATTGTTTCAAGAGTTAAATTAATAAAATGCTGGCTAGTTGAATACAGATAAGACAATTACAGAAATGAGAACCAAGCCTTGTCCAAGTACATAGAAAATGACATAAAATTAAAATTGCCTTACCATTTTAAGCTGAGAACTTCTGTCTACAATGAGATAGGATATTAGATATTTAATATTTATTTTATCCAATCATCGACTTTATCACCAGTTACGATTCTTTTGAGCAATACCAAGACTATTTTGAGCTTTGTAGTTAGCTGACCACAATTACTTAAGTCCTTTGTTGAAATGCATCTTTAATAAGATTCTTGTAAAAAAAAAAAAAAAACTGAGTGAATCTGGTTGTTGGTGTTTCTGTAGTTTTGGATTGGTCTAAGACTAAACTCTGTACTCCAGAAAGTATAAACGAGTCAATTTCAACCATATTACGTGATACTGAGTGTTAGGCAATTCAGACATTTTTTTTCGGCTGTTCTAATTGTTAAAAAATTCTTTCCCAGAAAATCAATTTTCTTTCTGTGGGATGATGGAATATCCCTAGTTATTTCTAAACTTCAGCGCTTCCTCCAAACAGGTTTCGCTAGGACGGTGTTAAATCTCCATCCGAATGTATTCACCACTTACAAGTTGATACTGTTTAATTTTCGAAAATGTCACCGGTTACTGGGTGCGGTACGGAAAACTGACCCCTGATTTTACACAGTCATCAAACTAGAGGGGACTCGCGAGAAAGCGCACGCCCCGGCGCCTCGCGCGGACTACCATTCCCAGAATGCATCGCGACCAAGACCCTGCTTCCGGGCGTGCGTCCCCGCCCCTCGCTCCGGGTTGGCTGACTGGGGTTGCCGTCGCAGTCCCTGCGCGCGGAGTGTGAGTGACCTGAGCCGTGAGACCGGTCTCAGCAGAATTCTCCGCCACCTGGCACTGGCACCCTTGGGAAGCGCACGTTCCCTTCGCACTGCTTCTTGAACCCACCATGAGACGCCTGGGCTCCGTGCAGCGGAAAATGCCGTGTGTGTTTGTGACGGAGGTGAAAGACGAGCCTTCCGCCAAAAGGGAGCATCAGGTACCCGGCAGCCCGGCGGGGGCGGGCTCCTCCCGGCCGCGCGGAACCTGGCGAGCGCGGCGGGGATTTAGTAGGTTTTGCTGGGCAGGTCTGGGGTCGCGTGCATCCTGAGCTCCGGTTCCCTTACCTTAGTTGTAATGGAGGGAGTCTGCGAATGTTTTGCTCAGGAGATTCCAGCTTGCCTTCTCAGGGAAATTGCAAACCTATGTTTAAGTACTCTTTTTCTCAAGTCAGCACCTTTTGAGGGTAAAACTTTAAGTAATCAGATGATATCACTGACCATACTTTATACTTTCCAAGAGAGAGGTTAGAAAGTGGAGATACTAGATTTGCTTTGTTCTAACCTGGGAACTGATGGCACTTTGACACCAGACCTGATTAAGTCACTAAATGTCAGATCTCAGTTACCAGTAATTATTTAATTCTAACTTTGGTGTTCTCATCTTAAGGTTGCCTGTTTGCCTGGATACATGTTTTACATTGGACAGGCCCTCAGTAAAACGCTAGTGAATGAATAATAGCCTTCTTCAAGGCAATTTAAAATGTGGCAAAATCCTTGAGGAGTAGAATCTCCAGCTGTCATTTGAGGGTTTGCAATTTGGACAGAATCAACATGTGCATTGGAAAATAATCCCATTCTTATCATCATTAGCATCGGCTGCCTTAAACTGGATGACCTACCTTTAAGGCAGTTACTGCCTTCTTTAGTCCCAGCTTCTTGTACCTAACACATGGTCATTGGTTGTCCATTCACCCTTTTTTTATTTTTACTTACTGATCATAACACACTCTTTTCTACGGCTATACACTGTTTAATACTTGCTACCTAGAATAATTATCACCATGTTCTCCCCTAGTCAAAATCCTATTGTTAACTACTTAGTGTCTGTGGCAGTGATTGTCAACTTTTTGCTTTTATTCAAGCATTTCATATGCAATGTCATCTTTCAGGATGGAACACTAAGAATTCTTAGCGTTCCTTTCTGCTTCTCAACTTTGTATGCTGGGTGGAGTAATTTGTAAAATTCTTTGTCACGGGAAAAAAGACCGTTTTTGCCCCTCTGCAGTCAAGCGTACCTCATCGTATTGTTATAGCATACTATCCAACGTCTTAGTTGTAAGTCGAGGCCTCTTATTAATCAGGCCCAGTCTACTCTGTAACCTTCTCACATACATTGTAGTCTCTGTTTTAGTTTGTTTCTTCGTGTGAACATACCAGCATAATCCTGCCTGTATTTTTGCTTAGGCTATTTACTCTGGCTGGATCTCCTCCAGAATGTTTTTAATTGTTTCAGTTTTTTTCTTCTGTATAAATTCTCTAATCCATTTCGTCAGACCAGTGGTTTCCCCTACCCAGAAATCACAGAGGCCCCCTTGGTCCAATTGATACTGTCTTCCGTTTTATGCTCACATACATTATTTTTCCATGCATAGTCAAGTCTTTGATGACAGCGGAAGAAGCAGAACATCCTGTACTTTTCAATGTCTTGTATTTTCCTTGGCTGATGTTGACAGCAAAGGGTGATATATAATTGATTCTTGTGGAAGGAATCTTTATGCTCAGCGTGAATTCCACGGGCATAGTCATGTTCTCCATAGGAGCCCTGCTAAATTTAAATTCACACACAAAGCTTTTGAGCCAGACTCTGTCTTTACTACCCAGGTTAAATTGATATGTTTGGATACTGGAGTCATAAATTAGTGATAAATTCATATTTAGCTATATCTTTAAAATACTGAACCAGTACTAAAATAGAGCTAATTTCCTACTTTGCTTGACTGTTTGAGAGTAATCTGCTTTATTAGTCTTAAGCTTATACACATTAGTATTTTACATTGTGCAGGTTTTTTGTTTTTTTTTTTTACAGTTAGGTGAATATTAACTTCAGATTTAGACTATAAATAATGGCAAAAGCTTTTTTCAGAAGGGAAAATGACATACACAGATAAAGTTGGTAAGAGCCTTAGAATTGGTCTTTTTCCATCCTTGATATCCCTTAGACTTTCTTCTAGAAAGTAAAAAAGCCATCAATTAAATATGTAAAAGGTTTACTATTGCTAAAGCTGAAAGGAACAGGAATTGAATACACTCAGATAAAAGCTCAGAGAAAACAAAAGGCAAGTGGTTCTTGGTACTTTTAACAGTGAAAACTGTTAGGAAAAAAAAAAACATGAATAAACTAAAGTCAGCCTCAAGTATTGAGTACACCTGTGTACAGAATAGAACTGAAAGGGTACTTAAAGGTACAGTCAGCATATCTAAGGTGGCAAACTGGACTGCCTGTGGCTGTTGGTGAGCTGGAGGCCTCAGCTACTTGAGAAAATGTCAGAATCTCACTCCTCCTTTATACACTGCCTGCCTAACCCAGGACAATGCACTTTATAAAATAGATGCCCAGACTTTTTGAAGGAGTGTTCCTAGAGATGTTTGGGTTCACATTTAAAGCGAGTCTATGGAATGCAGCATTCACACTAAAAGATTCATGAGACTACATGGGGTTATCAGTAACTAAAAAAACTACTATCAAAGTGAATCCTAAGTCAAAAGACATTTGTTTGATAGCAAGGATTGTTGTTTTGCCCTCTTGGCTATGTTGAAAATAAACGAAAACCATAGTTGATACAGCAGAGAAGTTTATGTTTGTAATATTGTGTATCTGTCCAGTATAAAAAGTAATGGTAAGAAGCCATCAGAAGTTATTCTTCCTTTAAAGCAGGTAATATATTTTCCAAGAGTACTTGTTGATCTTTATAATGTGTGTGTGTGTGTGTGTGTGTGTGTGTGTGTGTGTGTGTGTGTGTGTGTGTGTGTGTGTGTGTGTGTGTGTGTGTGTGTGTGTGTGTGTGTGTGTGTGTGTGTGTGTGTGTGTGTGTGTGTGTGTGTGTGTGTGTGTGTGTGTGTGTGTGTGTGTGTGTGTGTGTGTGTGTGTGTGTGTTTTAGGGTATAAATAATGATAAAAAACAAAAACAAATTAAATTTAAAAATTAAAAAAAACCTTCAAGATCTATGAACTGAAATAATTAGGCAGAGGTCAACGATCCATCACAGTGGATCAGAAATGAAATATTAAAGGAAACTTTTGTTTATCTTGGAGCTCAGGAGGAAACAATATGAAACAAATCCAGAAAGTATTTTGATTTTAGCTCCTAGAAAATATAAATTGGTGTCAATTATGTTAATGACCAAAAGACACTGAAAGAGATACCAGATTCATGCTAAAAGGTTCTCTGTGATTATACCTGGAATATGAGATTATGGTTAATTTCTTGTTTATGCATTTGTATTTGTTTACAAATTTTCCATAATGAATAGGATGTTGTGTTTTGCAAGGAAGAAAAAACAAAAACAATGAAAATATGATCTATCTTCCTTATCTCCTTTCTGAAAATGCAGCTTGAGGCAGGAAAAAACACCATAATACTCTTACTCAAACTAAGAACAAGTCTTAATTGAAAGACAAGTTTTGTAAACAACAGAATGTATTTAGAAGGGGGGAAGGTCTCATGTATTGAGATTTGTTCTTGCTACACTGAAAATTATGATTGGAACATAGTTGAATTAAACCTCCAGAAACACTTGTGGAATTAATTAATTAAGCACATGCCTAGTTTTACCTGCACTCAGGAACATACACAGTGGCTGTTTTGCATTCTTCAGACACGTGAAGAAACTTCCTGCTTTGGGGGCCTTTTTTTAGTTACATGGTGGATTCCTACAAATCTGCTCATAGGTTGCTTCTTCAGAGGGTTAGATAGCACCTCACCCCAGTCTTTTCTTTATGCAGTTTGCTCTTGTCTGTAGTATCTGTCCTACCTGCTAACACTGTGTTTCACGAAAGGCAGATATTGTTTTGTTCCTCTTAGATATTTCCGGTGCCACGGACAATAGTTAGTCTATTGTAAGCTTTTAGTGAATAATTGTCAAATATATGATTGTGTATATTTTGTATAGGACAAGACTCTTGATAGATGAAGAAACAAATAATTACAAACTGTATTGAAAAATCAGGTTTTGATGTGATAGCATAAAAAGGAGGGGATGATTCAGAAGTCCATAGGAGAACTATTGTTAAATTGTCTTGAGTAGACAGGAAATCATACATTAGAACTAAGGAATTTAGGAACCTTTCAGGTGAGAATGTGTGAAGACCTAGGCTGTTTCTTAAACCAGTTTTTTTCTCTTTCTTTTTTAAAGCCATTTAAAGTTTTGGCAACTGAAACTATAAGTCACAAGGCATTAGATGCAGACATACACAGTGCAATTCCAACAGAAAAAGTGGATGGAACATGTTGTTATGTTACTACCTACAAAGGTAAAATAAACCTATAATGTTTACTACAAGCGTATTTTTCTTTCTTTTCAAACCTTATAGATCTGAAATAGGGCATTTGCTCTTCATAAACATGTGGAAAGTTAATATAGAAGAAAAATACAAAGGTTACAATTGTTATTTATTACAGCCTTGTTCTTTTCTCTTGAAGGAGGAAAGGATGGTAACTAATGTTTACTTAGTACTTTTTAAGGGCCTAGCAGTATGATAAATGCCTCATGTATGTTGTCTCTAATTTTCACAACAAGACTGTCTATATCACAGATAAGGAAACTGAGTTTCAGCCAACTTAATTTGTACAAGGCCATACAATTAATAATTAACATACTAGAAAGAGAACCTTGGCTTGTCTGAGCCTAAAGCTTATTCTCTTTGCAGTTTCCATTGGTTTTATTATTATTGGTAGTATCTCTAGTTAATTTCATTTTACTGTACTGTAAAAGAGGTAAAAATTCAAACCAGTTGTCAGCTGTGTTAAGGGAAAAAAAAAATGCCTTGAGGAGAGAAAAAGATTTTTTGTGTTTGCTCCAGAATTCTGAATTCCCACAAAAGGAACAATAGTTAAATGGGCATCCAGATATATTTCTTGAATCAGAAATCTCTTCTGAAATGTGTTTTACAAAGTCTTTTTGGCAGTGGTAAAATAGACACTTTTAAGCATTTTAAGATAGTGTGCAGTTTAGTGGTATAAAGTGTATTCTTACTATTGTGTCCTCCCCTCTCGTCTCTTGTAACCAGCATTCTACTTTGTCTCCATGAAATTGATTATTCTAGGTACCTCCTGTAAATGGAGTTGTGCAGTGCCTTTTGTTTTGTGACTGGCTTATTTTCCTTAGCATAATGTCCTCAGGATTGATCTGAGTTAGCATAGATCAGGACTCCATTCCTTTTTAAAGCTGAATAATATTCCATCACATGTGGATAGCACATTTTGTTTATTCAGTCACTGATGGGACACTTGGGTTGCTTCTCTGCTTTGGCTATTGTGAATGATACTGCCATGAACAGAGGTAAATAAGTATCTTCTCAGGCTCTGCTTCCAGTTGGGGTATCAAGTGGAATTACTGGATCATATGCAAATTTTTATTTTTGAAGTGCCATTACATTTTTTATAATGATTGAACCACGTTGCATTACCACAATGTATACATGTTCCAATTATTCCATGTACTCCTTAGCATTTGTATCTTTTTTTATAAGTTGTTAGAGCCATCCTAATGGATGTAGTGGAATGCATTTTTGTTTACTGTTAAAAAGAACAAAAGATACTTTCACCCTAGCTAATAAGTAATATAAAATGTCTGAATGAACAGTGATTGTTTTATAAACTTCTACTATATAGATCTGAAAGAACTAAGATTGTTCTCATGTTAGTTATTTTAAGAAACTCTAGTGTGCATCCTTATGTAATTATACATGATAGCTGAAGGCTGGAGTTTTTTGGGGTGGTTTTTTTTTGGCATTTTTTTGGGGGGGCGGGTATTGGAGATTGAACTCAGGACCTTGCACTTGTGAGGCAGGCAGCAGCGCCACTGAGCTAAATCCCAGGCAAAGGCTGGAGTTTTAACTGTTAAAAAGTAAAGATGTATATGTGTACAGAAGTCAAGTCCTATCCTAACCTGAGAGGACTGAAGAGGCCAGGAGAAAGCTGGCTCATTTAAAGCCTTAGTAGGACATATTTTCTCAGGTCAGGAACCTCTGATGTGTACAGGTAACACTCTGGAACCAGGGACTACAAAATGGAGCTGCAGAAGGATTGTTCTATTTTCACTGGTCACACAAGGCATCTTCCTACTAAGTAATCAGTCTCAGCAGCAGAGCCCTTCAGGAGTCTGAGACCAGGCCCAAGTCATCATTCACACTCTTAACCAATAAGGAATGCTGGCAGAGTGCTTTGAAAGTCCTCAGAGCCGTGATGACAAAGCAACACCATTAATCAGTATGTTTGGTACCTTAACTAGGGATCGGTACCATGCAAAGCAGGTCAACCTAATTCTAGATCTGGCAGAATTAACCTTCACAAAACAGTGTAAGGGAGTGTGCATATAATTACCTAAGTTTCCATTCTCAGTAGAGGTATTTCAGTTTTTCACAACTGCTGCTTACTAATATGACCATGGAATGTGTTAAAAAGGATCCTGTACTTTTTATTTCATCCCCATCATTTAGCCAAAGAAATTCAGGTCCTGCTGTAAGTAGTCTGTGTCTTGGACTGCCTGTTCCCCTTTGTCTTCTAGGGTTGCTGCTTTGTTTAGAGATGACCTTACAGTTAACTGAGCAATTATTCTGTCTTTAAAGATAAATTTTGTTTGCCTCTTAGGCTTTTCCTTTCATTATTACTGTTTTTAGATCAGCCATACCTTTGGGCTCGGCTAGATAGAAAACCCAACAAACAAGCTGACAAAAGATTCAAAAATTTTCTGCGTTCCAAAGAAAACTCAAAAGGTTAGTTTTTTTTTCTTTAGCTGAAATTAATGGTTTATCTATTGCTATAGTATTTCTATATACTATATCCTAGATAAAGTAAGCAATTTGGGGGGAAATATTATTATTAAATGTTACATAGAAAAGAATATTCTTTGTATTAAATATTTAAGCATATTTTCCTAATATGTATTTTTGTGATTATGAGTCTTTTTTATTAAAAGTATGATATTAGAGATACCTAACACTGAGAAGTATAAGTCACATTGTGGTGGTAATGAATGGAAAATACTTATGTCAAAGATCATCTATTCTTTTTAGAATTTCTTTGGAATGTTGAGGAAGATTTCAAACCTGTTCCTGAGTGCTGGATACCAGCAAAGGAAATAGAACAACTGAAGGGGAATCCAGTGCCTGATGACAATGGACACATTCCTGGTAGGGTAGGGTGAAATCTCTTTGGAAATATCATTTTGTGTTTACTTAGTAGAAAGAACCAAAGGTCTATTCCAGTGGTGGTAAACCTATAGCACACGTTTTTAAGACAGGATGTTAATGTATGCGTTATTTTTCCTAAACTAAAACCCCAGTATTAGATTTAATAATAGTGTTGACACTTTGTGATAAATAAATGGGTTTGGGTTGCAGCTGGGGCACTCATTTCTAGAAAGTTCACCATCGCTGGTCTATTCAATCAGAACTTGCAGAATTTAGTTTTAATCTAGTGTTTCTTGTATATGTATACTACAAATTTTCTAAATCAAATTTATGTAAAATCTAACAGTTTATATCACAGATCTTTCATGTCAAGAGTATTCTCTCAGTGCCGGGTATTTGGCTTAGTGGTTCTGCTGCCTGTCTTGCAAGCAAAAGGGCCTGAGTTCGATCTAGTACTACAA